ACAGGGAGCCATTGCAGGTTTTGAAGGAAGGGGGTGATGTGGTCTCTGGAGCGGGTGTGGGTGAGGAGGCGGGCAGCGCAGTTCTGGATATATTGCAGTTTATTTAGAATTTTGGATGCTGCTGCAGTAGTCCAGTCTTGAAGTGATGAATGTGTGGATGAGGGTTTCAGCAGCCGGGAAGGAGAGTGAGGGGCGGAGGAGGGCAATGTTTTTTAGACGGAAGAAGGCGGTCCTGGTGATATGGTTTATATGTTTATTGAATTTGAGCTGGCTGTCAAAAATTACTCCAAGGTAGTGAATGTGAGGAGAGGGGGTTGGAGTGGCGTTGACGAGGGTGAGGTCGAAGTTCGGGGTGGTGTTGGTGCGGGATGTGGGTCCGATTATGATAATATCTGATTTCTCGTTGTTCAGTTAAAGGTAGTTTGTTTGCATCCAGGGATTGATTTCTGAGAGACAGTTGGTGAGTGTGGAGTGAGTTGTGGCAGTGATGGTTTTTGTGGAAATGTAGAGTTGGATGTAATCCGCGTAGCAGTGATACTGGAGGTTGTGGCGGCAGATAATTTTTCCAAGGGGAAGGATATAGAGGATGAAAAGGAGAGGACCAAGCACCGAACCCTGGGGGACGCCTTGGGACAGAGGGGCAGTGGAGGAAGTGCAGTTATTGATCAGAGAATTAAGCAAAGATCATTATAAACTTATTTCAAACGCAATACAAGGGAGACAAAGTAAAGATGCACAGTAAGGGTAGAGTGGATAATGATAAGAATTCATTTTCATTTTCATACAAGTATTAAGTATTTTTAAGTGTTTTGGTTTAATCTCCCCTCTCTAATTAGCATTTTTTCCAGACAGCTGTTTTCAGTGATTCAGCTCTATACACTACCTACACAGCGCAAAACTGCAGACAGGCAAAGTTAGTGACCAGCTGTCAGCTGAGAAACATAGTGGAGCATAAAGTAGTCAATATTGGATTGAATTCACCACCATTTTTGAAAAATGCTTAAAAAAAAGAATGTTGCTTTAAGGTTTCAGTCACAGTGAATGGAAACTTTTTTGCAAAGATTTAAAGGTAGGCCAAAGTGGAAGTAAAACATTTAGCTTTAGCACCCAACACTGATAAAGCCCATATGTGCCCTTACTCCCATCTCTATCTGCACTTTGTCCCCAAGAGATCCCTGTTAATACAAGCTTTCCCTATGTGCGAGCTAGATGAGGATATTCTCTTCCTGTTCCAGAAAAGAGAGGAGAGTTTATAATTTCAAGATGATGAGGTGGTTGGAAGAGCTTAAAGCCAAAACACTTCTTGTTTTCTCTGTAAGTTCTCACAGTGAGATGTGTTATCTCCAGCAGTGGAGACAGTGTACAGTAAAAGGTCTCTTTTAATCACTTTACAACCAATCGCATAGAGCCCATTGAGCCCAAAGTAGATAAGAATCATTTTATCTCACATTATGAATAACCAAGAGCCACGCCAAAGAGAAGTAATGGCCACTTCATTTGACTGATTCACTGATTGCTCACTCACAGGTTTGATAGCAGGTGTGCTTTTATTTCTACCCTGCGCTCAAACGCCTAAGAATACTTTTGGAATCATAGTTTTATAATCATTGCCTGAGGATAAGAGTTAAAAAAGTTAACTGCGCCAAACGGCAAACTATTTTTATCCCAGAACGTCCTCATTTTAAAAATAATCACCGAGTGCCGTTACTGTTTTTGGAAGGATTCAGGATTAATCATAATGGTCAGTGGTTATGGATGTTTGACATCAGTTGGACATATCCATCCTGATAAGCAGCTTGGCTTATTTTATGAGAACAAGCCTATTTTAAATTGGAGGGACACAGATTTGATTTCTGCAGTGACGGTCTGATCCTTTAATGGTTCCTGTGGCTTCGTCAAGGTCAGATGTCTGAATTGTCTTGTTAAGCTCTCCTGACTGCATTGCTTTGACAGTAAAGGCTCAGGTTGTTTAAAGGACACAAACAGAGGTACAAGAAAAGCTTCTGGGAATACAGTAAGTCCCTCATAGTTCCAGATTAACAGGCATGAAAAGAACATTTTATGTAAAAGGGGACATGGGGATGTGGGTCAGGTTGTGAGGAAAGTAGAGCTGGAAAAATTATGATTTGTAGATATACAGAAATAAATCTATAACAGTTAGGAATATTGATTAGTTTGTGTGTGGAGCCAAATAAATAAATAAGTGATTGTTCCAGCATCTCCAATATCCGTATGGTGATTATATGTCACCTTTGTTTTCATAGCTTGTTTCTGCTTTCTCCAAGTGGCATTAGCAATGGAAAACGTATCTGCATGTTTATCATATTGTCACTAAGGTAAACAATTACATTTTCCAATTTGGATATTCTTTTGGTTTGTTGCTTGTAGCTGATTTGGACAAACACACACTTGAAGCTGGTTCCAATCAATGCTGACCCTGCTTATATTATTCATAATCCATTCTTAAAGTTATTGATCTACTGTATTATGATGTATGACTCATGTCTGGACATTCAGGATTGCTCATCACTTGACCCTCCACACACATGTTCAGCATCTATCAGTCATACATAGATTTGTTACGATAATGCTGAACAAAATCAATGCAGGGAATACTGGAAGTATACACTGGGTGCAGACAGCTCCTAACACTGTCTGAATTGCTGGTTTGCTTGCCTCTGTATCTCAGTAACACAATGTCCCCTAAAATGACGGGAACTTGGCCCTGCTGTGCCTGCGGCCGTCTAAATATTAAGCTGCTCTCTCACCCGCTATTTTTCTCTTTCTCACCCACTCTGTGTGTTTGTATTGATAATGCTTCTCTGTCACAAAGCCTGTGTGCAAAGTCTCCATGCAAAACAGGCAAAACCATTTGAGCCGAACATGTAAGCTTTCTCCATCAGCGAGTTCCAACAGATCAGCAATTTCCCCCTGATGAGACACATTTACAAATAAGCATTCAAAGAGCGTACCCCCAAATGTAAAGAATGTCCCCTTTAAGGTCCCCTATTATACTGTTTTTCGTCAATATATTATAGGTCTCAGATATATCCAAAACATGTCTCTGAAGAGTTTGGCTCCAAACACCAAACAGATAATTGCATTATCCCATAATCCCCTCTGTTTCAGCCCTGTTTCAAAAGGGCTGATTCTCTGTCTGTTACTTTAGATGAAAATAAGGAGCCACTGCCCACGCCCCTCTGAGAGATATTTGGTTAAAAAAACACAATGGTGCTCAAGGAGGATATTCAGGTGATAAGGTGTGTGTGGGGGGAGGCGCGGGTTACATTGGTTGGTGATTGGCTAATGGTTACACAAGCCAAAACATCGTTATGACATCATAAAGTGGCCAAAATCTGATCAACTCATTTTCAGATTTTAGGTTTTTATATAAATGGATCAGGACAAAAAGTGAGCGAATCTATTTTCCTGAAACTTTCAGAATCTCTTTACACAGAGGGGACACATGGTTATGTATAAAATTCATGAAAGGGGATTTTGCATGATAGGTCCCCTTTAATGTTTCCTCTCTGCCTCTCAGGGAAGTCGCCCAGATCGACCAGTTCCTTCAGGAGACGGCGGCACGAGAAGCCAATGCCAAGGTGCGGCTGCAGCAGTTCATCGAGGAGCTGCTGGACCGGGCGGACCGCGCCGAGAAACAGCTGCAGATCATCAGCAGCTGCGGGACCACGCCCAACGGAAGCCTGGGGCGCTGCAGCCTGCAGAACTCAAAGGGCAACGGACGCCAGGTGAGGATATCCTGACGTGTGTCTTCTGTAGTATCAAAAGGTTGCATTTTACAGAATGCCTTGTGAGATATTTTGTTTCCTGTGTGTTAACGCTTGCTTTTATTTAGGGTATTTAAGACATGTTGTTTTCAGACTGGGTAACAAAAAAGAAAACCATATTTGTACATAACGAGTTTTAAAATGCTGAAGGACTTGGTCACATTGAAATGCTTGATTATAAACAAAGTGATACAAAATGTAGTGGGATGTTTCACACATTTAAATTATTTTGATACGTTAGATTGACATTTGTTTCTCCATAACGCAATATCATCAACTCAGAATTATTTCATACAGTATATATATTTCTTTTTGTGTTTGTTTTACCAGCATAGACACTTCAGAGCTCTCCCACAGTTCTTGAGGGGGCAGCTTCTTTCTTTGAATAGTGCTTAAGCATTTATTATATTGAGTTATGTCCCTGTAATGCAGCACAGGTCGAACCCATAATAGACGTTTGATAAACTGTCTGAACAGCTGCCTGACCCTGAATTATGTGCACACCTTTATTCTGTATGCGTTGGTTAACTCTTTTATTTTTAAGATTTTGGGACATGGAACAGGAATGTGCTCCCATTCAGTCACAGGAGCTTGAGCGAGATTGGCACATTCATGTTGTTTGATGAGATCTGACTTGACATTTCTGTTGCAAAGGTGTCAATGGAGTTGGGGTCACTGCTCTGTGCAGGCCCCCACACTATTGTGAGGGTTATGTCAGAATGAAATTAGAAGCTTAATACCTTCCTGTTTTGCATTCAGCATCACAATTGATAGAGAAGCACTTCAGCAGATGACCTGCTGACCAGGGTACTTACATAAAAAAGCAAGAGATCAACCCCCTGCCTCCAAGCTCTCCACATCTCCATTTGCAGCNAATAAATTCAAAGTGCGTTACATCGCAATAGAAATAATAATAATAATAATAAAGCGTCTTTGAGCACCTGGAAAAGCGCTTTGAAATAAAATGTATTATTATTATTATTATTATTATTTCTATTGCGATGTAACGCACTTTGAATTTATTTTGCAAATAATCTTGACTAGTCTAAAAGAAGGAAAATTATGAAGGATGGTTGAACCTGGTTGTACTGATAATCATATGCTTTGTGCAAAATCAGCTTTTATTTTTTTTCAAAAGAGATGAAGAATATTAACATCCCACACTTTTTAGTGAACTGCTGAAGTGATGAGGTTCCTGATACCGTTATGCAAAAAAAACAAACACTGAATATAGAAGGAAGACAGATGCTGGTTGAAGAAGCGCTCCTATCCAAATAACATGCATTAGCTAACGGCCGCAGCAGATTGATTCATTCGACTGTATATGATGCATCTGATTACGGCACACAATTAACGAGCCCAAGTATCATTTATTTTAATTCAATGATTGGAGCTGTACCTAATGTGGTGTATAATTAAGCAGCCTGAAGCGAAGGTTGCTGCTCTCATTATTCAAGGTAATAAACAGAGAGCAATGACTGAGCATTGTATTTGCTTCAGCCTCCAGTATAATGACATATGGCTGTCTCATATGCTATTAAAAGAGCAGGAAGGTTTGAATGTACAGTACCTCACATTGTGTTTTGGAATCCAAATTGCAATACATTTGTAATTAGTCTTCATTAATTATTCAACGGTATTAGATTTTTGTTTCGTTACTAGAGACAGATGCACCAATCCCACGAGGAGGAACGTTTTGAAGGCAACACAGGAAAGCCTTTCTCTGTGAGTAAGAAATGCATGGATAAAACAGACCGCCTGGCAGCTTAACCGCTGAGCTGAAGAAACCTCACTCAGCGTGGAAATCCTTACGGAGAAGAAGCAAGGGAATCAGGAATTTGATCGAAAGACCAAGGAAGATGTTGAATACTGGGAAAAGGGGGAGAAGAGGGAAAATATGTCTCCTCATTGGATCCCCAGAGACATGCAAATCTGCAGTCCTGTGGAAGCAGAGAGCGCAGGAGGTTTGACAGAGGGATGTGGCTGCTTCCTGTTGTCAATCCTAATTTCAACATGCACACTCAGATGCACACACACACACACACACACACACACACACACACACACACACACACACACACACACACACACACACACACACACACACACACACACACACACACACCTCAGAAAGGAAGCCTCAAGGTGAGAAACATGCCCTCCTGTTTACCCGGACGCTGGGGGAGCGGGATAAAGAAGACCGCCATCTTTTCTCGCTGATGAACACGCAGGTTGTTGAGTCTGTGGCGTGGATCAGAGAAAATGACTCGCCGGTGGTTCCTCGTCTTAATAACCGACATGTGTGTTTGTGGGTGACACAGAATTTGTCTCCTCTCTATCTTCACTTGCATCTCCTCTCCTATAGTCTATTCCTTGTTGTTGTTTTTTTTACACAAATCCTACCATTGTGCCTTTTATACAGAGTTATGACATGATCTTTACTTATTTTATATGAAAACAGCTCAGAAGTGAGAATGAAATCTCAAATGTACCACACTGTCAGCTCTTTGTTAATTCTAGACTCACAGGATTTGTCAGTGTATCTGCTATTCTCTGTATATCTAGTATGTTCAAAATTGAACCAATGGTCTAACCACATTGTGTAAAGATCAAGGGGTTCAAATAAACATTATTATGTGTGAAACAAATCTTTCATTGTGATTAGATTCTCTAAAGCAGGGGTCTCGAATTCAAGGCCCGGGGGCCAAGTCCGGCCCGCGACTTCATTTTATGTGGCCCCGCAAGAGCTTGCAAAGAATATAATACGTTTATTATACGGTTACATGCCACTTTACAGAAGCAGCTTGCTCATAAACTACATGTCCCACAATGCATCTCGTTGTGTGACATGCGCACTGAAGAGACTTGCAATTATTTGCCTTGGCCTTCTGCTTTCAGACGTAATTAATTACTAAGTTATTATCCTATCCGATAATAATCTAATTCAGAGGCAATAATGTAATATAATACATTATTTGATATATATATATTATATATTTATATAGTTACAACCGGCCCTTTGAGTGCAACCTTTAAGCGAATGTGGCCCGCGATGAAATTTAGTTTGACACCCCTGCTCTAAAGGCTACATTAACAACAATGGATATCATTATAGCTGGGAGATGTGTCTGGTGTGTAAATACAGCAATATATTGATGACTAAATCTAAAATAAAAGACCTACAAATATTATTTCACAACGCACCACTTCCCCATAACCACCACCTCCAGGACGTGCATGAGTTTCATCCATTTCCTGCTCCACCAGCACCAGCCTGTGGACTCTGGGGGATCCGCTACTATCTCTTATCTTTGTATCGTTACACACTACGATTGATTTAACATTATATACAACAGCTTAACTCTGAAGCAAACAATAAGCCTCACTAAATCCTTACACAAACACACAGCAGTTGAGATAGGATCAATACCTCCGATTAAAAAAAATAAGGTCATAGTTCCACATTTTAGATTTACCACACATTCCCCTTCAAAGCCAAAACAACAAACACTGGTCCTGTTCCCTGCTGTTTCTCCCCATGATACTAAAATAAAGGGCTTGCTTGCATGAAAGCCATTTAAAATCTGATGCCTTAGTGCTGCTTTAAGTTCTTCGAAATAGAAAAAGGTCCAATCATTTAGACGTTAAAGCTTGCTTACAGAAATGTAGGCGACAGTTATTTATCAAACAAATGAAAATGGGCTTTGTAGACCTCAATATATGTCCCATGCTACTGCATATGCAGAGGGACATAATGAATCCTTAACTGACCATGTTTCATTTGCCTTACACTTAACAGCCATTACAAATAGTCTAGTATAGCAAATACATCCAGCTATAACAGGCGTGATTAATAAGGTATGGATTCACTTTAAATGTTAATTACAATCACTGGTCAGCAGCCTTTCACAGTTGTCATCCTCTCCAGCCATTAATTCAAATATTATTCCTCATTAAAATTTAAACGCAGAGATGATTGACTGAAAGGCCTGTGTGAGGAAGAGGAGGCTGTTGCATGATAAGAGCTTTTCTCAGCTCCAACAAAGGACAGCTGCTCGTGTTTTGACACCTGGATCAAATGGCGATTTTTTTTGTGGTGAGACAGATTCAGGGGGCTACATTGTGTCATCATGTCATAATGTCACACATTTTGTATGCATAGCACGCAGAAGATAAAGGCCGCATGAGGAGATGTGTGCAGAGTTGGCTACATGAGACGGAGATGTGAAGGAGACAAGGATGAAAGGGTGAGAGAAAAGGGATGATGAAAGAGAAAGAGAGGCTGAAATGCATAAAAAGCCTCTCAGAGACAAAAAAAAAAGAAGCCTGACTGGTTTCCAAAGAAACCACTTATCCACATCTTGGCTCTGATCAATCATGGGAGAGTAAATATTTAAACGTGGCTCCAACCAGTCCTATCAAAATGTAAACCCCTTACAAGTGAAAGATGGCCGAATCACCCAGAGATACAACGGCGAGGTGATGGTGTGGAGCATTGACAGAAATGACAGAAATGGCAGGAAAAGGCAACTTGAAATTCAGCTGTCAAAAAAAAACGGAGAATAATTCTGTCCTCTAACTCTTGTTTGCAAATGATGATGGTGCAGCTGGAACAAAATAGGGGAAGAATAAATATGGAAACAAGTAGGGCTGCAGTTTAGGGATGTCAGTCGTGAAAATGCCAAAGAGCCCAATGTGATGTCTTCATATTTCTTTTTTGCCCAAAACTCTGAGATATAATCTTCACAAAAAACTGGCTAAAACCAGAACGTTTTTAGAATGTCGATAATCAGATTTATCTTCTAATAGAGCCTCAGGTTTAACTAACAATTATTTCATTTTAGATTAATCTGTCAATTATTTCCAAATAATAGTTTGATCCTTTCTTTCAGAAAATGTCAGTTATTGGTATAAAATGTCCATCCCAGTTTTAAAACGACTACGGTTATTTTTTTAATGACCACTTTTTCAGTCCAAAATCAAATATACTGTTTTACATAATTGAGAAATGTAATTGTCTGCCCTTTTTGCAAGCAATACTTTGAATTGGTTATAAAAAAACATTTCTGATATTTGTTTTTATTACCAAACAAATCAGTCAGTTGCATATTGACTTGTAGATGTGGCTAAATGTGTCGGCCCTTGTGAATAGACACCAGCATCACTTATTCAGCTCTCTGACAGCTCAACAGTTTGAAAAAAGAGAAAAGAAAATCATGACAGCACTGTCTCAATATCAGCTGTCTACAGAACCACACATATACTGAACCCCAGTTCATCACAGTCCTATCAGCTAACAGTGTAACATGCACTGACAGTCCTAACAAAATGGGAAAGAAGACAGACGAGTCCACTGAAGGACTGGTTAAACTATCCTTCCTGTTCCTCTTTTCCTTCGTGCTCAAAGCTATTCATCCAGCCTCAAGGACACGCATGTCAGTTTCTTCCATCTTATGTTAGAAATAAACAGTCCTCGCTCATAAATCCTGCTCTATCTGAGGGCTAACATGCATGCGCTACATTCTGGGCTATTTAATATCATGCAGAAGCCTTTCTTATTATACGCCACTTCATATCGCTGCTGGAAATCTGGACGCAGTCCGTACTCAGAGTATCATCCTCTATAAGCTGCTTTATATTGTACATTATAGCTGAATAGCTAACTGAGGATATCCAGTCCAAGCAAATGAGCTCTGTAAGTACGTCAGAATGCAGTGTGTCAAAGAATGTTTTGACATTTCAACATATTACACATCAAGAAATAGCGTGGAAGTGTTTGGTGTCGATGCTTTTTTATGACATTGGATCACCAATGTTTAGGAATATTATAAATATTCACTGTGCTTTAACATTTGATTAAAACCCAGGACCTTGAGAACGTCCATCTTCACAGGAGTATTCAAACTAATTACATTCTGAGATGTATTGCAGATCACATTCTTACCCTGATTTCTATTCATTAGAGGGCCTTGGAAGTCCCGCCACGCTAATATTGCACGCTCCCCTCTCTTTTAGAAACTGCCGTTAATGAGGCGAGTTCACTCTCTCTCCACCCTGACAGCTTCGCTTTGCATTCAAGATTGCTGCCCGAGCTTGCTTATCCAGAGGAGGCACAGCGACAGCAAATAGCCAGACTCCTGCATGCTCTGTGGAGCCCGTATAGCCCCCGGCTTTTATATGCTGCACAGGGCACTCTTACTCTATCATAGCTGGTTGTAGGAATAAATCAAGCCTTAGAGTTGTGGTCTACTGCAGTAACTGTGTGTGTGTGTGTGTGTGTGTGTGTGTGTGTGTGTGTGTGTGTGTGTGTGTGTGTGTGTGTGTTGAAAACCTGACAGCAATTGTACTGCTCTCCTCCTCTTCCTCAATACAAAGCCGATGAACAGCTGCACAATTTAATTCAAACATCTGCAATGCTGCATCACTTAGTCCCTGCTCTGTTTGTACAGCACATGAGGAGAGTACAATAAAACCCAATCTGAAGCAACAATGGTAAAACACACAGCCTAATTATCACCTTCCACACACAAAGGACCATGTTAAGCTTCACAAAGGAAGTATTTGTTGTAGTGCTGCATCCAACAATTATTTATATTGTCTTTACTTTTCCAATTATTTTCTCACTTAATTGGTTCCATGTGTTCCAGCCTCTTTGCTTTCTATTATTGCTCTGCACGCTTTTAAATGATCTCAATGACTTTGTAATTTTAATCCCCTTTCTATTCTTTTCAGGGTGACTTTGTAACATCTGTGCAGGGACTCTGAAAAAC